CTCATAGAAGTACCTCGTAGAATATTGGTGACAAGGAGCTGTGGAGGATGAGAGAAAGAGAGGATGGAGAGCTTCATATTTGATATTGGTCAATGGGTACAAAATTATAATTAGAAGAAATAAGTTATGAGGTTCCATAGCACAGTTGGGTGACTATAGTTAAAATATTCTATCACATACTTCGAAATCACTAGCATCTCTCCACAATTTATGTGTATTTGGAAATCTTTCAATACAGTGATTTTTCACTTTTAAGGATTCAAGTTGGTTGACTATCTCCCTGCTTTGATCTCATGCTAGAAGGAACTGTTCCTTTCCCAGTATCATAAAAAAAATGTTTTTTACAGGATTTTGATAAGTTATAACCACAATAAATAAAAAGTATCTGAAGTGATGAATATTTGATTTGATCATTACACAACGTATAGATGTACATACATGGGAACATTTCACCACACCCATCAAATGTACAACTATACCAAAGGCAAAATAAAATAATGAATAAATAAGGAGATGGGGCTGGCAGCAGTGAGAAAAATGGATCAGAAAGGAAGAAATGAACACAGAGATTAGCTACAATTAGGAGACATCTGGGAAAGAGTGTACAGTAGCTTAGACCAGGGGTTCTCATCAGGGAAATTTCATCACTCAGAAGACACTTCACGATGTCTAGAGACATTTTTGCTTGTCAAGATGTGTGTGGGGGTGGGTAACCAACTAACATCAGATGGGTAAAGATCAGGGATGTTACTAAATCACACCCTGTAATCCACAGGACAGTTTCTATTTCAAAAATCATTCAACTTGAAATGTCAATAGTGCTCAGATGGAGAAACCCTGGCTCAGATCACGGTGGTGGAGATAGAGAGAAGGATGTACTGGAGAGACGATTAAGAGGTTAGAATTGGCCCTAATCCGTGACTGGCTGATTATGAGGAATGAGGGCAAGATTATCAAACACAAAGCTCAGGTCGTGGCCTTGTTTGTCTGGACGAGGGTGGGTGCCACTGAGATATGGAACATTCAAGGAGCTGATGATAATTTGGTGGGGGGGGGGAGATAAAGAGCTCAGCTTGAGACTTAGGAAATGTGAGATGCCTATAAGACACCCAGAAGAAGTCAAATGAAATTCATTAAGTCCTCAAGTATAGAAGGAGATCCTGAGCAGGAACTATGAATTGAGAGGCTTCTGTGAGTGGAACAGAAGTCATAGACATGAGTGGGAGAGAATGAGGCAAGAAAAGGGGGCCCAGGCCTGAGCCTTGTGGAACGTCTGGGAGAGGAGCACACACCAGGCCAAAGTATCTGGAGAGCAAGGAAGATATATCATGTGGCAGAAGCCTATATTAAGGGCCTGCTTCCCCATACCCACCTGCTCCAACCAGAGCACCTGCCATCTTTTTAAACTTTACTAAATTCATCAGTTTTTTAAAAAATCTTGTGTAAAGATATTAAAGTTTTATTGCCATCATTTATATTTATTTTTTTAAATTGGCCAGTGCATGTTATTTGTCCATCTTTCTATTTTAGACATTCCTATTTTTCTATGGATTCGTAGGACCTTAGGCTATATTATGGTTTTAAATTCCTTGCTATTACATTCTTAAGCATTTCCCCCACAATTTATATTTGTTTGCATATCTTTCAATACAGTGGTTTTCCTTTTTTTGTGGGGGGTGGGGGGTGGGGTGAGAATGGGTACCAGGGATTGAACTCAGAGGCACTCAACCATTGCGCCACATCCCTAGTCCTATTTTGTATTTTATTTAGAGACAGGGTCTCACTAAGTTGCTTAGTGGCTCACTAAATTGCTGAGGCTGGCTTTGAACCTGTGATCCTCCTGCTTCCACCTCCTGAGCTGCTGGGATTACAGGTGTGCACCACCAGGCCCAGCCAGTAATTTTTCATTTTTAAGGATTCAGTTTGGTTGACTATCTTCCTGCTTTGATCTCATGCTAGGAGAGACTGTTCCTTCCCAAGTATCATAAAAATGCTCTTCTACATTTTCTCAGAACATTAAATTCTTTTTCATATTTAAATTTTAATCCATCTAAAATCTTTTTTGTGTGTGTGTATGTGTGTGTGTGTGTGTGTGTGTGTGTGTGTGTGTGTGTGCGCGCGCGCGCACGGCGCACTTGGTGAGTGACTGGGATTTTTTTTCCCCAAAGTGGTGGTTTCAATGCTAGTTATTGGAGAATATGTTCTTTCAACTGCTCAATTTCTGAATACTAAATTCCACACCCATTTTTCTGATACTAGAGTGTCTTTTGTCCTTTATATCTCTTGGTATATTCCTGTGCCCAAACTAGGCTTTTTAAAAGTACTATAGCTTTATAATATGCTTTGATATCAAGTGAAGCACATCTGTACTATTTTATAATCAAAAAGAGCTGTAAAGGGTATGAGTTTTTCTATGTGGGGGTGGATGGGGAAATGTGTGTGTGTGTGTGTGTGTGTTTATGTGTGTCCCCTTACGTAGTGAAGATGGCAAAGTGCCTATGAATGACTAGGACTAGTTGGGGACTGCAAAGAAGTTAGTGCAGTGCCTGGAGCAGATGGTTTCCAGAGAAGTTTGGAAAACTTAAAGGTGAGTTGGAGACTGTAAGGTTCTCAAAGGAGGTTAGTGCTCACATAACTAAATTATGAGACCTGTAGATTGAGGCAAGCAGAGAGGAAAGCTGGAATGGACCAATCCCTGCTATTTTTAGATATTATCACCAACTGTATTTCCAGGCTTCCTAGGAAATCACTTTTCCCAGTTCCCAGGAAATCAATCACTGGAGATGCTGGGACCAGCATCTATCCCTTGGAGCAGATCTTACTGACCTCAGGTCTGGAATACTAAATACAGAGGGACCCTCAGCTATGTCATATGCCTTATCTTTCATTGGCCCACAGCTTTCAAAGAAAATAAGACTCATATTGTAGTCAGCATTCACTGAATGTCTGACACACCCAGTGCAGACCCGGTACCAATACAACAGCAAGGGCCCATTCACACAATGCATGCGGACATGTGCACACACACAGCCCTCACTTGGGACCCTCCTCTCCAAGCTCAGACATCTCTAAGAAAGACACTTCTCTCTTAAGGCCCTCTTACCTCATAGAGGCTTTTCTATCAACTGCACACGATAGGAAACTGGTATATCTCTAGAAGAGGGTGAGCAGGCCCAGGACCCCCAGGAGCCACAAGGAAGGATGGACCAACACAGACCACTCAGGCTTCTTCCTGGAATAATTCCAGGGTCCTTGGGGTCACTCAGAGGGACCAGGAGCTGCCTGCTACTGCATTAGAAACATTCCTAGGGTTTGGGATCACTGCTGCCCAGGTGTTGCTGTCCCCGCCCCCCAATCTTTCCTATTTGACCTCTTCTAGATTGAGCTAGCCCTGAATTTTGTCTTTAAAATGCTCATTTTAAAAACAGGGAAGGGGAAAACATTGCTTAGTAATCACTGGGAATGTCCCTGGGCGTAGTCAAGGTGGTTCTGCTATAATACCAAAGGGAATGTCTCAATGCATTGCTTTGTGCTTCAGAAGTACGCGACCCAGGGACCCACCTGCCTACTTGCCAACATTATCGGTGTTCCACTCCAGCTCCCAAAGACAGTACAGGGCCCTCCACCTGGGTGGGGGAACTGCAAAAACTCATGCATGCCCCAGGAACGCCTAGTCACTACTTGGCCCCTGGCCCTATTTTTCCTCCACTTAGGTTTGGGGTGACAGTGGAGGAAACTAGAAGACATCAAAAGCTTCTTTGCTTTGACAAAGATGGAAGCGAAGCCGGCAATGGATAGGACCCTTCCTTCTCCCCTACACAGGCTTACGAGGGATCTAGGGCAAAGTCTGGCCCCTTCCTCTTCTACTTTGGGTTGAGGTGATACAGAGAGAACTACAAGAGGGAAGGTGAAGTGCTATTTGGCTAGAACTTGGCGAGGGACTGTGGGCCCCTGGAGCAGGAAGGGACTGTCTTCAACCACTAGGCGCTCACCCTCTCCCTTCAGCTTCCACCGAAGGCTGGGGCGACCGCCAGTGGAATAGAGAAGGTGAAGAGGTTCTCGGCTTTGACACCGCTGAGGGGGCGGTCCCGAGCGGAGGCTGCGCCACCCCCGCGCCACCTCGCCCCGCCTCCCCGACGCCTCCGCCAATACTTCCAGCGCCTGTCGCCTTTTTGGATCCAGCAGCGCACAGGTAAAGTCAGGGGACCTGGCACCCGAGCCGCGGAGGAGGGAAGAACGGGTGGCTCCCTCCCAGGGTGAGAACTGGGAGGGCCAGAACCGAAATCAGATTCCCGCAGAGGGCCGCAGGGCGCGAGCCCCAGATCCTCGGGCGGCCGGGGGTGGTCCCTGCCCTGCCAGCGAGCTGCGGACGCGTCTTTAACCAAAGCGCCCCAACCGAGCGCGAGATGCGCTGGGCGCTTAGATGCCCACAGCTGTGTGGAGACGCAATCCAGAGTGACCCCCCCACCCCACTCCCCGGATCTGGGGGCGCTGGAGGCCAGGGCCTGGCATCCTCTGGCAACCATCTCCAGCCGGCAACTCTAGGTACCCCTGCCCGGTCTTTAAGGGGCGACTCCGGGCTCGCGGGCCACGGACACGCACAAACATAAACCTGCCTTGCTGTTGTGCTTGAAAGCAAAGCCTTGCCGCAGGCTCATGAATGTTCATAATAGGAAGAAGGTTTGTTCTGCCTGGGTGGTGTGTACAGGTGGAACAATCTGCAGGGGGGAAAAAAGGACTTTTAATTTTCAAAAATTGTTTGCAGTTTAAAGTTTCTGCAGAGCCATCCTTCTTTGCCTTGCATGGGGCGGGGGACGCTAGAATTAAGTTCCAGCTTTGGGTCTATCTTGAAAGTTCTGGGTTTAAGCTCATGGTCCTGGATGACGTCTTGATTTGGAGGAAATTAAGTGGGTTTGTGTTTCAATGGGTGCACGTTTTTTGAACTCCTGGAGCTGGGTCCATACACGTGTTGTCATCCTGTGTTCTCTCACCTGCAGCTGGGAAGAAAAGATGTTTTCTGTCGTGACCCGCCAACCGTGTGAGCAAGCAGGTTCGTGTCCCTCAGTAGGCAGCAAGCATGGTTTTGTCAAATCGGGAGTGCCCCAGCTTCAGCTCCGTTTTCCCTTCAAGTCCCCTGCCACTGACTGTTTAACCTCATGGGTTTGAAATTTGGTTGCTCACCCAGGTTTTGCCATTGGCGTTTCTCAGGTAAAGAAAAGTAATGCTTTTCATCAAAGCCGCACAAAACAAGGACTAACATGCATGTTTCGCTTAAATGGTTTTTCCGGTTTGTATAATCCATTAATTTGGCCTTTGTGGTTTCCCTGACCCAGCTGTGTGTAAATATTGTGCTTGAAATATTGTTAATTTTGTGATGAATTGTAATGTACTCAAATCTTTCCGGTATTTCCATCCAAATGTTGTCGCTGGCACGGTGCCTACAATACCCTCCACCCCACTGTGGGTCAGTATTGGGGTTGATACCGCAGGCACAAGTACAGAATGTTTTCTCTCCCCAATACACACTTCCAAGTTGCCTTGCCTGCCTCTGCAGCACTTTTATAGAATTGCTCATGTAGAAGCTCAGAAAGCTCTGGCCTCCCCATGGTCAGGTAGACAACTTGCAATTAAAGTGTTTGTCCAACCCTAATGACAGCACAGCTCTAGGCTGCATTTCTTAAATGAGTGAGACCTAGCCTAGTCCATTTTGCGTTGTAACAAGCTTTTCTGCTGGGGCAAGGGTTTGCTTAAAGTAATCATAGCTTTTTACTTGAAAACTGCTGAAGCACAGAGGATTTAGGAGGCCAGCCCCGTGGCTGTGGTCAGGAGACTGCTTACATATCTCATCCCCCTCCCCCTTTGAAAGACATTCTTTAGTCATGTCTTCAACTGGGTATTCCTGTCTTCCAAGTGAATATGATTTTAGGAGATAAAGACCCATTTATATGTATTGTTTTTTTTCCTTTTTGTAAAGGGAAATTTGTACTTAAGGAGCTGGTCTATTTTGATTTCCAGGTTTTCCCCAAAACACTTTGAAATGTTAACGCACATACTTTAACATCCCACACACAGACTGATCTGTTACATGCCTTCCAAAGTACAAGTTAAACTTGGCAGATTAAATCTATACCATATCTTGTTGGGGGGAAAAGAAATCCCTTAAACCTCTATTACTGACTCCAATGTGAAATTGTTGAAATCTGATGCAGATGTTCGTCTCTGGATTAACTGGTTACTGGCTGGGTCCTGTACTTTCTCTGGAACAACAGAGGAGTGATCTAGAACCCCTTCTGATGCTCTGAAGGTCAGCCCACAGAAGTTGGCTTCCCTCCAGTTGCTATTACAAATGATTCTGCAGTGAGAAGCTTTACGCAAAGTCATTTTATACACGTGGAGCTAGTTATGTGGGATAGATTCCCAAAAGTGAGATTTTGAGTCAGATGGTATGCTCATTTGCAATTTGGTCAATACTGACAAATTGCCCCCCTCTGGTTTACACTCCCAATGGCAAGGTAGGAGACTTAAGATGCAGGAGTGACTACCTTTAACATCAGGAAATGTCTGTGACTGCCTCTAGAGTATAGGGGAAACAGGGCTATTCTGAGCCATTGAGACCTGCTGCATACTGCCCTCCCCAAGTAGTGAGTGTTGTGATGCAATTGGATATTGGAGCTGTATCTAATTCTATTATGACGACACATACAGGCCCTTGTTTATTTCCACGAAAGATGTCTCCTAGAAACAAAGAAACAGTAAAGCATAGGTTATGATGGTCCTAAGAATAAATGTTCTGGAATAAGGCAGGATTTACCCCTCTGCCTTTCAAGAAAACTTTCTTCAGTGATAGAACTGCTCTGGATCTTCTCTGGCCAATATGGGGGTCACAAGGTCACATGTGGTTATTGAATACTCGAGATGTGACTAGGGAGATTGACAAAATAAATATTTTATTTTAACTAATTTACATTTAAATAGACAATTGATAATAGACATATTAGGATTCTCTGAATCCAGTGATCTTTCTGTTCTGCTAGTGTTTATTATATTTCAGCCATTTAATATTTATGCTTTAATAATTTAATCAAGATTTTTACTTAGTCAATCATTTTATTTGACTCTTTTACCTTTTTTTAAAAAATTGGTATAATTTATATGCAGTGAAATGGATAAATCCTAAATTTTACCTCTGAATTGGGTATTCTTGCCTTCTGAGAGTATGTTATAGGAGAGGGAGGATGATTTATAAGAATCTTTTTTTAAAGGGAAATTGTACCTAAGAAGATGTTTTACTTTGATTTTCAAGTTTCCCCAGAGGACTTTGAAAGGCTTGATGAGTTTTGACAAATGCACACACCAGTGTACCCCTATAGTCTTTTTAATATTGAAAGCATTTCCATCACCTTTGGAAAGTGCCCACATGCTACTTCCCAGTGAATGCCTTCAGGCAATCATTGTTTTGATTCCTGTCACCCTCTTGCTCTTGAACTTCACATAAATGAAATAGTTTTTATTTACAAATTTCCATACAGTACTAACTTCTTTTACCTGAGAGTATTTTAAAATAAAATATCATCTCATCTGCTTTAATAGAAAATCCATGTGTTTTAAATCTGTTTTTAAAAATGTTACCTCAAAATAAAATCAAATATTAAAAATAATAATAATAATAAATGTTATCTCAAATGTCTCAGGGGTGACCAGTAACATGCATAATACATTTTGAGAAATAATAGAAAACTTGACTGTGCACACACTCCCTGCAAACACTGTTTTAGTCTGCAATTTGGAAGGGAAGAATAAATGGGTATTGAAGCCAAGTTGCTACTCCATCTTAAAATCATGGGTCTCTATAAAGACAGAGGAAGTGACATGCACATGATGATGGGCCCAGTCTGTGGATTCTACAAAGACCTGGTTCCTACTTCTCACTCATGTGTCTTCTTGGTCTTCCCATTGTAGGCCTCAAGGCTCTCTCCCGAACTCCAGTCATCGTCACCTTGGTGGTCCTGCTTGTGAGCATTGTGGTGCTTGTGGCTATCACACTCATCCAGATCCGCCACCCAGAGATCCTCCCTCCAGGACTAAAGGTAAGAGCAAAAGAATTGGCATTAAAAGAAAGAAGGGGCTATGACATCAATCACCGTAAAACCATGAGTTCCCAACTGTAACCAGAAGAAAATGGTGTTAAGGCCCATGGAGAAGGTCCAGACCTGCTGGGCTTGTGATAGTTGAGGCTGCAGATTCGGGGGGTGATACCTACTCCGAGGACTTTGTTGTTTTGCTATGACTGTAGGAACCAAAGATACAGTTTTTAGCCAAGACGGTTCAAAGGCTGTATTTGAAATAGAAAATTTTTTAAAGAAACTAATTTTGCCCAGAGCGCCATGATCAGGTTTGATCTAACATTCTGAAGCTACACTTCAAAAGAATTAGACTAAAATCTCCTTAGGATCATGGCAGTGGGTTCTTTGATGGGATGTTTTACTTAAGATCTCATCCCTCATGAATAACACGAGTAAAAAAAGGAAGAAAAATAAACCTATTCAAGTGCCCAACCATGAGAGGAAACAGATTATCTTGTTGCTCCCAACACATTAGCTAAGGCCTTCAGAAGTTGTTTTCCCAAGCTCCAGGCTTTGCCTTCTCCTAGAAAATATAAAATTGAGACTGCAACTAAGAGTAATATCTACTCTTTATACTTCTTATCCTACTGCTCCGGTTTGGTGAGCATTTTCTCCTTATTTATCTCATTTAGCCCTTGTTATAACTATAGAAGTAGACAACAACACCCCTTCCCATTTTGCAAATGAGGAAACCTAGGTGTGGCCAGTGAATGGCAGGATTGGAACTGAAACCTGGACCCTTCTGTTCCCAAGGCCTCTTCACATATCTCCCACATTCCCCTGATCCTGAGTTCTGAATGAAGACCCCAGGAGGAGGGATGGACCTTTGATGGGAGCAGCACACATCCTCCTCTGAACAGGAGGGAGGGTGGAGAAGAAGGGTCCAAATGCAGGAAGGTTTAATGAATTTGAGGAGGGAAAGGAGGGCTAGGACTACTATGACACTCCAATAACTGGAGCCCCTACTCTGGGCCCTTCAATTCAGAAGAACCAGCTGTAGCTGCACTCTGGGTTTACCTCTCCTCCTGAGGGTAGTCCGAGAGGTGACTAAGAGACAGGTGTTGGCAGGGGATATAGACAGAGCAAAGACAGTGGGTTGGAACTGTCCACACACAGGTGCAAGAGTTTCTTTACTGTATGGATTTGCCACCGGTGGGAAGAGGACAGGTTTGAGGGAGAAGGGGCAGGGCAGACACCTCCATTTATAAAATGTTGACTCTGATCCTATAAATGTTAAGGATTGGTTGTTTAAAGGAGTTACCAGCTGATGGCTTTTACTTGTTCTGGGATATAAGTCCTCTGTTCATCATTCAGGGATGTGGAAAAATTGAGAAGTAAATTGAGTAATGAAAAGTACAGTCATGTACCATACGAAGTTTTGGTTAAAACAGACCATGCTGGTCCCATGAGATTCCCATAGATGAAAAATTCCTATCACTTAGTAACATTGTGACCATTGTAATGTCACAGCACAGTTCATTAGTCATGTTTGTGGTGATGCTGGGGTCGACAAGCCCACTGCGCTGCCAGTCATATAAAAGCATAGCCTATATGATTTTGCACAGTGTGTGATATTAAGTAATGATAGTAAATGCCTATGTTACTGTTTATGAGTTTTCTGTACTATATTTTTTATTCTTAGAGTGTACTCTTATTATTAAAAAAAAAAGTTAACTGTATAAAATAGCTTTAGTCAAGCCTTTCAAAGGGGATTACAGAAGGAGTTATTGTTACTGTAGGAGATGATAGCTTCATGTGTGTTGTCCTGGAAGACCTTCCAGTGGGACAAGACATGGAGGTGGGGGACGTTGATATTGATGATCCTGATCGTGTGTAGGCCTAGGCTAATGTGTGTGTTGTGTCTTGGTTTCTTTAACAAAAACACTTAAAAAGTAAAATAGGAGAACAAAAGAAGGGGAAAAAAAGCTTGTAGAAGGAGGATAGAAGAGACTATTTTTATTCAGATGTACAATGTGTTGATGCTTTAAAATATTATTTAAGAAGAGTAAAAATGCTTTAAAATTTTTAAAGTTCATAAAGTAAAAAATTTTACACTCATCTTAGATTAATTTATTATTGAAAACTTTAAAGAAACTTTAAAGAAAACTTTTTTGTAAGTTGAATGTAGTGTCCAATGTTAATGAAGCCTAAAGTCGTGATAAAGTCCTAAGCCTTGGCATTCACTCCCTACTCTCTGACTTACCCAGAGCAAGCTCCATTTGAGGTAAGTGCTCTATACAGGTGAACTATTTTTTATCTTTGATCCCATATTTTTTCTGTATCTTTCCCTTTTTTTTTTTTACTTTTTTTTTTTTAGTTATAGTTGGACACAATGCCTTTATTTTATTTATTTATTTTTATGTGGTGCTGAGGATCGAACTCAGTGCCTCCAGTGTGCTAGGCAAGCACGCTACCGCTAAGCCACAACCCCAGCCCATTTTCTGTATCTTTTCTATGCTTAGGATGTGCAAATGCTTACTGTTGTGTTGCAAGGGCTTGTGGTATTCAGTATGGTGACCTGCTATACAGGCTTGAAGCCTAGAATCAATAGGCTACACCACATAGCCTAGGTGTGTAGTAGGCTATCCATCTAGGTCTGCTAAGTACACTGCATGATGTCCCCACTGTGATAAAATTGCCAAACAATGCACTTCTCAGGGGAAATCCCTGTCATTAAGCAGCACGTGACTATAAATTCCAGGCATTGTTGAGGGCTCCATTAGAGGAGAGGGCCACACACGATTCATGCTACTCTCCAAGGCTGGGTTCCCCTAGTCAAGATGCAAGTGCAAAAAGATCATCTGGGGATGATCCCAGGACACATGGGGAAGGGAACAGAGAAGTGAGGCAGATGTATGGCAGTCTATAGGGCCCAGTGATCTAGTAGGTCAGCACTGTGGTCAACTGAGGCTCAGTCCTAGCAGTATCTCAGGGAGCCCAGGCATCATTCAGAGTTGTCCCATATGTTGGGACGTCAAGGCAAGCACCTCACTCCTGGTTTTCCGAAACAGGGCCTAATTATACACCAACTTCATCAATCATTGGATGACAAGCTGCTTCTAGGGACGTTGCTCTAGTATTTCTGTCATACGATGTGCTCAAGTGGGCTCAGGCCACTAGAGAAAGTCTTCCTGGCAGGTGCGTGATGGATGATTACGCACCTCAGCAAGATCTGGGAGGATGTGGGCAGGAAAATGTCAACACCAGGTCGATGTAAATAATAAGATTATTATCCCCAGATTTCAGATGAGAAAACAGAGAAAGAGAAAGGACAAAGGCTGAAAAATAGCAGAGCCGATATAGAAGAAGAAAACAGAAACAGTGGCCTTAAGCAAGGGTTTGAAAGAACTGGACACACCCTCCACCAACTAATTGACAGTTAAGAGAGAATTTTAAATGTCTTCAGAATCTTGCTCTCAGGCCTTGGCTCCCATTACAGGAGACAAGAAGTTGTATAATATGGGAAGATCAGCTCATAAGGTGCATTCTGCTTAAGTGGGTGGATTAAATGTGGGGAAAAAAACAGATGTTCTGGGCAGTTGAACCAGAAGCAGAACAGCAGCCTTGGCCGATCATGTTCCATATGCAGGTTTTCTCAGGGGATGGAGACTTTGGTCTCCTTGAGTTTTACAATGTTTGCTGGGGCTGGGGGGAGTGGGGAAGAGTACTGTGAAGGTGATATTAAATGAATATGGGGCTTTTTAATTGTCACATTTGTGTTTTCATGCCATGAGCCCTATTTTGCCTTTCTGTGCAACTGACAGTTGCTATGAAGGGCAGCTCCCCCACAGCCTTTGAAGGACCCTCATGATGGGGCATGTTATCTGGCTGTTAAATCCAGCCTTGACTTGCCGGACCTTGCTTGATGAGAATTTAAGGGCAGAGCAATTGAAACTCCATCAAGGGTCAGAACTGTACTCAGTCTGGGTTACTGGTCTGACCTGCTCCACAAGATTAAAGAGTAAACATGATGCCATCGCTGTTATTTTTAGTCAGGCCCCCACCTGCTTGGTTATCATTAAGTCCAATAGCTTCCTCTTGAGGCTTCCCCCTCCCCACCCCCAATCACAGCTGTCTAAGAATCTTGGGGCTTCTTGATCCAATGACAAATACCCCAGTGCCTGTTGCCTCTTGCAGCCACATGATGTCACTGTTGAAGATGGGTCCTACACATTCTTAAGGTTTAGGGACTTTTCCCATGTGACCTGCTCAGTTCATGTGAATTCTCCACACTGGGCACAAGATTACAGACTGTTGTAGGTCACACTCCCATGTACCACCAGTATTCCCCAATGACAGCCACTGGACCAGGCTGTGAAGAAATGGGTCCCTTTTAACCCTTATCGAGCCTTGCTCAGCAGCCTGGATTTCTGATGCCCTGGGGCTCATTTTGATCTACATCTTGAAGAACAAATTGGATAATTGGTTTCTTCCTTTCTAGAAAGCCCTTGTTCCACCTCTCATCCAGCCAGTTCTGCATAACCCTAATCTAAGAGCATGCTTTTAAGAAACTTTCTATCTAAACAAAGGAGGACTACAGTGCCATAACAGTTCAGCACCTATGCCTGAACAGTCACCCCTTGAATCCTGGGAACCCAGTAAAGGAGGCAAACCATGACTACAGATTGATCCCAGGTCTGTTCCCCTATGTCAAATAAGGAAGATGATTACACCTGCCTTATAAAGGCAATAGCACTTACTAAAGCCGATTGCAAAGTTCTTAATATATAGTAAGTGCTCAATACTGTTGATGATGATAATGATGATGATGATGATGATGATTGATGGTGGTGGTGTTGCAGTTTGAATGCAGGGCCTTGTGCAAGTGAGGCAAGCACTCTACCAACCAAGTTATATCCCCATCCCTACTATTATTATTTTTATCATTTAGTAATGACAATAAGCACATCTAACAGAGCTGACCTCATGAACTTTGCTTTTGCTTTTGACAATCACAGTCTTTTTTTTTAAGTGTTTGGATCAGGGGATGTGAAACGGAAGACTTTCCTTTCAGTTAACCCACTGAATGTGTCTTTGGATCCTTGTGCAAGCCACGCCTTTTTCTGACACCACATTAGAGGGTTACTTATTACTTTCCATCCAAGCGTTCAATCACCTGACTAGCTGAACTGAAAAAAAAAAAAATCATTCCCATCTCTTCTCCTCCAGTGGATCCATATGACTTCCACTGATTTAGGCAAATTAGCTCTGAAGACTGGTTAAAGACTAATTTTTCCATTTTTAGAAATATCAGTGGGAGATAGATCCGTGTTAGAAATAGAGTTGGGCCTTGAGGCTGGCCCTGTCTGCATATCAGCAAGTGCTGGAGGAACAGCCATTTGAGCAGTCTCTGGCTGCTCCACCTCTTCTGCAAGCTGACCCTCAGCTGGAATGAAAACAAGAATATACACTCTTCCTTCTTTTTGCTCTTTGCCCAGAAGCTCTGGCTTCTTACACAGAGAAAACATGCATCCATGTGAATGGTTGGAATAAATATTTGGGGCGTCTTGTTTTATGGGGTCTGCAGCAGGCATGACAGGTGCTGTGGGAAGGGTAGTGATTAGGTGAGCAACAGGACGGAGGAAAAGGAGGAGGCTGAGACACTGAGGTCTGATTCCCTTCCTACCTTCAGTTCTGACCTGCACTTTAATCTCACCGTTCAATCTCCACCTGGGACGATTATGAACAATGCTACTCTTGTTCTCCACAAGGGATGTCATGTCAGGATTCCTATCAACATTCATCAGACTGAGAAGATGAGATTAAGAGGTTGCCCCAGCTCAAATACCAATGTACACAGGATTTCCTAGTTCAATACAATGGAGAAGCTGTGATTCAGAAGCTGGAGCAACTTTTAAAGAATTTGGCCCCGTTCACATGAAGCAAGCATTTGTAATAGGAGAAAGTTGTCTAGAATCAGGGAATTGGGGAATTGGTCAAGTAAATTGTTCCATATCTCACAGAGGGTGTGATGAATATATTGAAATGTTGATATTAGTCTGTTTTTCCTGGCAGGAAGAAATGTTCATGAAATACTGTTTAAGAACATTGCAAAAACAAAAACAAAAAACTAGAGAATGATCCTATTTGGATTTTAAAACCTAAAATCTAAACATATGTATATATAAAGCCATATGCACAGAAGACCATTAAAAAAGGAATGTAACAGGGGTTAATCCAATAAATTAGATTTGTAAATTTGAGGAGCATATTTTCTTTGTTTTTGTTTTTTGCTTTGTTATTTATTTTACTTGCCTGGCTTTTCTATATATGATAAGAGCCTGTTTTATTGAGCAGCCACTAAGCATTAGGCAAATGGTCTTCTATTTATTTCTAAAAGTAAAGCATTTAAAGACGAGAGAACTCAGAGAGGTTGGGCATCTTATTCAGCATTAATTGAGAATCTGATTCAGCATGCCTTCATACCAAACTCTGTCTTTTTCCTGCTACCCACCTGCTCACTGGTGTTTAAGTCTCCCTGGGGGACTTGCAACATGGCCAACATTGAGAACCATGCCTTAGAACCTCTCCTACCTTACCTCTTCTCCTTTCCACAGTCCAAGGAGCCAAAGATGGCTTGGAGACAATCATTATCATTAGGTTGCCTCAACCTACATGAAGCAATGTGAATTAAGGTATTCAGGGTTCTCAATGGCCCACTGGGAAATGAATCCTCCATGAGGCCCAAGCTATTCTGACTCTCACTTCCCTTTTTATTCAGTATGGAATTGTGCTGGATGCCGGATCTTCTAGAACCACTGTCTACGTGTATCAGTGGCCCGCAGAGAAGGAGAATAATACTGGAGTGGTCAGTCAAACCTTCAAATGTAGTGTGAAAGGTAAGGACTTAAGTGTGGCCAGGAGGCCCAAGGAGCATCAAGGTTAAATCCTAAGTCTTTTGGAGACCTTGAGTCAGGCAAGTGAGCCCTGGAGTGGGAATTGGAAAAATACAAGTTCCTCTGCTCAAGCTGCTGCTCATCTTGGGGGGGTCACCTGAATCCTATCTGTTTTCCTCTCTGGGCCTTGGTTTCTTTCATCCATAAACATGGGGAATTGTCAAGGACTGTGAATAGTCTGAGACTTTACCCCACCGTACTTTTATAGTTGCTGGTAAAAGACACAAGACTCCTGGCTCAGAAACAAAAGATAGTTTGTTACAGTAATAGCACTGGCCAGAGTGTCAGCATTTCCTTGCAGTGGTTCTCCAGCTCCCAGTTTATACTGGATAACATAAAGACAGCCAGATAGTGGGTTGTATCACAGAACAGAAACTCTGAGATTAAGGAACCTGTACCATTTATAATGGCTGGAAAGCCTGCCTGCCCTTTGTTCTGGAAGGAAACACTGCCTTTCTGTTCCAATGCTGTTTGCTGAGAAGATCATTCAGAACAAGGGACGTCAGCACTTGTGCTCATAAGACATGCTGAAACATAAGAAATACATAGGAAATTTTCCGAACAGGGGGAGGTGGTATCTGGGTATGGGAGGAAGTGGGTTTGGAGGGACATAGACGATTCATAAACAGAGATGACTCTATTCCAGTAAAGCTTTATAGATGAACAAGAGATTTTGAATTTCATATAATTCCCTAATTCTCACATGTCACCAAACTTTGCTTTCTTTTCATTTCCTCACCAACCATTGAAAAATTAAAAAAAAAATAAATAAAAACTGTCTCAGTTCTCTGAGGTAGCAAAATGGATTTCTCCCATAGGCTGCCATCCTCTGAAATGGAATATTGTCAGAACTTTAATTACTTTCCATTTAAGTCTCTGCCTCCTCCCCAACAAAACATGTCCTGAATTTTATGTTAACTATTCACTTATTATTCTTTCTTTCTTTCTTTCTCCTCCCTCCTCTCCCTCCTCCTCCTCCTCCTTCATAACTGAACTATATTCCCAGCCCTTTTTATTGTTTTTATTTTGAGACAAAAATCTCACTTGGTTGCTTAGGGCCTTGCAAAGTTTCTGAGGCTGACCTCCTGCCTCAGCCTCCTGAGTTGCTAGAATTACAGGCTCACACCACCATGCCTGGCTCTTTCTTCTTTTTATCTTAATTTTAATTGTACCTATTTATGGGGTACAGTGTAATAACTTGATACATGTACACAATGTATAATAATCAAATCAGGGTAATTGGCATTTCCATCTCTCTAAATATTTCTTAGTTTTTATAATGATTGTACATATTTCTGGGGCACAGTGTGATATTTCAATACATGTATACCTGTATTTCAGTACTTGCCCTGATCAAATTAGGCTAATTAATGTTTCCATCTCTTTGTCATTGTTTTATGTTTGGAGTGTGATTCAAACTTCTCTCATCTAGTTATTCATAAAATATGTAACAGTTCATTGTGAACTGCAATCATCCCACTATGCTGCAGAACACTAGGATTCATTCCTGTTTCTGTGTTTTTGTACCTATTATCCAGCCTCCCACTTTCTTCCCTTCACCATCCTTCTCAGCCTCGAGTAATCACTGTTTTATATTCATATCTACGCTTTTAGCTCCTCCATCTGAGAGAGAACATGAGGTATTTGTCTTTCTGTGTCTGATGTATTTATGTTACATAATGACCTCCAGTTCCATCCATTTTGCTGCAAATGATATATAATTCCATTCCTTTTATGGCAAAGTAATACTCCATTGTGTGTGTGTGTGTGTGTGTGTGTGTGTGTGTGTATATATATATATATATATATATATATATATATATAATCTTGTTTTCTTTATCCATTCATCCACTGATGAGGATATAAGAGAAAAGGAAATTCTTCTCCACTGTTGGGGAGAATGTGAACCAGTATAATCATCATGGAGCACAGTATGGAGGGTCCTCAAAAAACTAAAAATAGATCTATCCATATGATCTGGTTATTTGACTTCTGGATATAATCAAAGGAAATGAGATCATTATATCAAAGAGATATCTACACTCCCATGTTTATTGTAGCACTATTCACAATAGCTAAGATATGAAATCTTCCTTGTTCTTCTTTATAGTTTTGTCTTAGATTTTTAGTTTTTACTGATTTGGGGGGGAAATAAAATGTGTATGTACATGATCAAACATTTTCCTATAATTTGCTTTATTCACTAACATTGGGTTAATGTAGAAACTCAATGTTAAGGTTTGTGAACGGTGATACTAATAGCCTTTGGCTCATTTACTTTTCCCTTTTAATGGACATTTGTATTTCCATGGTTGCTAATAAGGTCATGTATTTTTTCATGTATTTATGACCTTTTCTGTTTTCTGTGAAATGCCTGTGCATGTCCTTTGGTTATTTTTCTACTGAATTGCTTGACTTTTCTTACTTATTCATCAGAATTTTTAAGACATTCTGAATATGAATGCTTTGTGAATATTATTATAGATTGTTGCTCATATCTTCTTATAGACCGTAGTTTGTCTTTTTTAGTTTCTTCACCTATCTTGATGAATAGACGTTCTCAATTTTTATGTCAGAATAGTGATCACTCTTCTCCTCTATTCTTTGTTCTTTTGTACATTTTGAGAACTCCTTTCCTATCATAAGGTCAGAAAGATATTGTTCTATCAAAGTTTTGCAATTTTTCCTTTAACAATTAAGTCTTCAGTCCACACAACCAAGCCCAGTCAGTATGTGTGTGTGAATGTCTTTTTTTTTTTTTTAAGCCGTTCTCTTTCCCTCTAAAGCATTATGATCTTTGAGTTGGCCTGGAGTGTCCCAGCTAGTGAGTCCTGAATGGGCTACAAGTACACCCTTAGTTCAAGGCTACAAGTCAGAGACACCAGGCCTATCCTCCCAGCCCCAGGCAGCCTCCATCATTTCCTTCAGTGAGCTGTCCAAATACTTTAATTTCTTGGAGATGATTTGTCTTTCCCTTAGGGAGATGAAGGATCTTATTTGAATAATCAAGGTAAGCTGTGATTGTCTGCCCTCCCAGGAAGATGGCCAGGAGCTCACCTCTCCTGGGGCACAGGTATTGTAGGTTAGGTTTCCCAGAAGCAGAGGTCAAGAGAGAGTTTGGGATGTAAGGTACTTTATGGAGATCCTAATAACTGAGAGTGTTCTGGTGGCAGGAAGGGGGCAGAAGAATTAGATGAAAGAAGTCAAACTTCAGTGAATGCCTGATAAAGCTCCAGCCGATCAGTTGTCCTGCAGTGGGTTGAAATGCCGGGAATGGCTGGGCTGCAGGACCCATCACCATTGTCGCTGGGTGTTTTTAGCCCTGGGAAGAACAAGATCTTGAGTGAGACAGCTCTCTGCAGCTGAGGCAAACTCTGAAGGAGCTGAAAGGTGGGACAATAAATCTTTGTTTGAAGGGGCATCTCCATGGCCTGTTTGGGGGGTTCTTGGATGTTTTCTGAGTGTTGCTTATAATGTTTTCCACAAACACAGGCAAGCAGTTTCCTTGCTCTGATCTCAGCCAGTGATCCTGGATTCACTTAGTTCAGCTTACTTCTGAGCCATTTCTTCACCTCCAAGCATGAGAAGGCATCAGGTTGCTCCTTTAGAAAAGAGAGGATAGTGAAGGACCATGATGGAGACTTCTCCTCGTCCCTACTGTATGAGCTCTGGAATGTTGCTGAATCTCTCTGAGCCTTGACCTTCTCATTTCTGAGATGAGAAAAAAATAGTGAGAGCAATACCTACTCCCATAGAATGAGTTGAAGATTAAACTGCACAATATAGATAAGGGAGAAAGCAAATGCCTGGTATACAGCAAGCACTCAATAAGTGCTCACTGTTTATTCATGGAGTTCCATACTCCAGAGCTCCTGGTGGATCTTCTTGGGTATAGTTGTTCTGTCCTGTAGTCACAGAATTTCTGACTTTAAACCTGAGAGAGGATTCAGCAGAAATTCCTCATGGTCCTCTAACTGTAGGGAAAGTTAGGACTTTCCTAGAGAAAGGGTCCTTGGCCCACCCTGGATGCCATACTTGATTTAGAAAAAAGTCCGTGGCCCACCCTGAATGCCAACCATGACATGGTTATGGAGCCCACCGCACATCCAGAAATGGATCTTGTCTTCTTTGATCACAGTAGCCTCAGGGATCCATATATATACTCCCAGGGACCAGAAGGTCACAAACTGAAGCTTAAATTAAAGAGCTGAAGTTTGGCAAGTGTTATGTTCTCTAGGGCATGTGGCTTCTCCAAGGATAATTTAGGTTTCTGGTTTCTCAGTTGCAAACTTCCCAAGACTCCCGTGCCCTGGCCAGTCTGAAGAGGTTGGTAAATATTTGCTCACCCAGCACCGATTACCAGGTGTCCAGGCCCTTTGGGGGTCCCTGGTGGGTATCAGTCCTCAGTCCTCAGATACTGAGTTCATTGGGCACTGTCTAGGCTGGTGATCCTTGTGCTGTTGTCTGTAGCTCTGCCTGCTTTTTTTTATTTTTTTTTTCTTTGAGAGAGATTCTCACTAAGTTGCTCAAGGTCTCACTAATTTCCTGAGGCTAACTTTGAACTTGTGGTCCTCCTGCCTCAGCCTCCTGAGCCTCTGGGATTACTGTGTCCAGCAGTGAGGTTACTTTTTAAGAATTATGACTAGGTTAAGATTCCTTATGTCAGCCAGGAGCGGCGGCACGTGCCTGTAATCCAGCAACTAGGGAGACGGAGGCAAGATGATCCAAGTTTGAAGTCAGCCTCAGCAACTTAGCAAGACCCTGCTTCAAAATAAAATAAAAGAAGGCTTGGGGACTGGGGTTGTGGCTCAGTGGTAGAGTGCTTGCCTAGCATGTGTAAGGCACTGGATTCCATTCTCAGCACCACATATAGATAAATAAAATAAAGGTCCATTAAAAGCTAAAAAAAAAAAAAGGTGGGGAGGTGGCTGGGGATCTAACTC